CACACTATCCTTGAACTCCCCGTCCTCGTCCTTCTCTTGCTCTTTTTCTCTCTCCCTCCTCTCCAGTTCTAGCCTGACCTCCTCTGCTTCTCTCTTCAATCTCGCCAATTTTGTGGCCAGCGTTTCCTCTTCACTGTCGCTCAGATCGCCAACCTCCTCTATCCCGTTCCCATGAAGCCATCTTCTTCTTCGACGCGAATTGCGTGTCCGATATGCGCGTCTAGTGCCACCAATCGAGTCCGAGAAGTCGACATCCCTGGCGTCAACTACGGAGGGTTCAAACCTCCGCCGTGCACCGTCACGATCAAGTGGTTGGCGATCAAGGCCTGGGCGGGCTTCGTCACTGTCGGAAGGAGAGGGCGAGATTGTGCGTACTGTTGCTGTCTGCAGGGTAGACACATCGTCTGCCAGTTCTGGCGTCTCATATACCTCTGGGGCAGCGTCCTGCAAGCATTGACGGTTAGCGGGATTTTATACGCAAATCGAGGGGAAAGTCGAGGTAAACCCACCAGATCTGGCAAACCGGCATACTTCTTGCTGACAGACATCGTACTTGCTCTTGGAGTTGCACTTTGGATTCCTACAGGGAATGGATACAATCCCAGGGACGCAACGTTTGGGTGCGTCTCTCCCGACGCGAGGATTATCCGATATTTATCCGTCCCATGCTGACCAGTGCAAGGTGTTTTGGAGTAGAAGATATACATGAGAGGATATAGCGACGCTGACTTGGGATCATACGAATATTAGATTTCTGGGAGAAGAAGCTTCTGTGGTCGGAAAAAACCTTGGGGTTATTTTCTTTTCCTTTTATGGGATGTAACATCAGATTGTGAAGGCAAAGGACATGTTTCAATGCGGTAAGCCTCTGGACTTGACAGGAGAATAGAGCTTGAAGAATGGCTCTTTCATTAGAATTCATAATCGAAGCAATACCACCTGTTAGCGAGCACTTTGACCGGCTCAGCATATCAAACGTCCATTCCAGGGTTTCCTCGCATACGCCTCGGATTCATGTCATTATGCAGCAGCCCTTCCCTTATCCTTGTGTATATGCTTGTCAGCATCCATATCGACTAGAAACCTTTCCCATGTCGAAATGACATTTTGGTAAAACTCCATGTGCTGGGCCGCCAACGCTCCCAAGCTGTCCCTAAACTCTACTCCTTTGATCCTTTCGAAATCCGCAACCTCGCGGACCACCTGCTCGTCAAACATTTCGCTCGTGGATTTTGCGCTGTCAACTTCTCGGTTGAGCTCTGCAATTTTAAGTTCTAATTTACGGGCGCGTTCGCGGCGGGCGGTTTCGTGGTCAACCCCTCGCATGTCTTCGACTTTGTTGCGGATGAAGGTAGCCGGGTTCAGGTTGCTGCCATGCGAGTAAGGGTTGTTCGAGGCTAACAGGTCACGTTCTGAAGTTGCTTTTTGTAGGTAATCGGTGAGTCCTTCGAAATCGAGTTGTTTCTGTTCGCGCGTTTTCAGGAGCGACTTGACGGAATTGATGTATGCTTCCATATCTCTTAGACTTCCCAGGTAGTTTTGGTCGGTGTGGTCTTTTAGTTGTTTCCACCCCCTCGACGTTTCTTCTACGCAGCCGGCGAAGGTTTGCAGTGGAGCCTCAATCGCTGGTTCTAGGGGGGTGAGTTTGCGCATGTTGTTGGCAAGGTCGGCGTAGTCGGCTTCAAGGTCCCCTTCTCTGCGGGAGACGCGAGCAATGATTTTTTCAACGTGTGACAAGTCTTCGTCGAGTTTGTTGGCCCGTTCCGTGACTTCAATAAACCGTTTGTCGGGTTTGTGGACTTTGGAGAAGGCGTTTAACATGGTGTCTGCGACATTATCGAAGAACCCTGAAGGAGCGGATGTATTACTTGTACCCCCTTCGCCCAGCGTATTGCTTCGTGACGGTCTCAGTCGCATTTGTGCGTTCCAGTCTCCTGTTTCGAGAAACAAAAGTAATATAGGAGCTCTCCGTAATACGGGGTGTAGGGTGCACCTTTTGAGGAAGCGATGTAGCGACCATGCCCGTCTTTGGGTGAATTCTGTACTAAAGCGATCTCCTCGAACGTAGGCCATGTTGTTCTTCTCGGGTAAGGGAGGGATCGCGCAGGCTTGATAATCTCGGTGCAAGGACTGACGGAGGAAGACAAAGTCGGTGAACCGTCGCCGAACAGCGAAATCGGCTCTCTGAAAGGACTTGAAGTCTGTCTATGAAAGGGCGTCAGCTAGGAAGTCTTGTTGAAAGCAAGCGACGGAATTACATGAGTGGTGACCAGATAAGAAACGTATGCATCTTTTGTGCCATCATTCTCTTTGAGTGGGGTATCGACAGTAACTTCCAAGGTACCGTCGCGACCTATGCCGGCAAGGTCGACATTGTCGGCGTGTTCACCAGCTTGTGGTTCGCTGGACATGCTGTCGCTTCTCGGCCCCTTCGCAGATCTGTCTGGCAAGCTACCATGGAAGGGAGTCGACGACTCCCCCTCGGGTGTATCTTCTCGTTGCCATGAAACGCTGTCAAATTCACCATGATCATCCATGTTGAGCTCAGTTCAATCCCCGCAGCGCAGGCACCTGTTATTTCCTTTCCGCGGGTCCGATTAGTGAACTGGACGGTAATTTGAACCTCGCACGCGATCAAGGGTTGAACTGGGCGACGACGAAGGGAGGAGGTGAGCTGCGGGACTTGGAAGACAGTTCGTGAGTGCCACGAGTTTGGTGAGGGAGAGGTCAGTTGCTGTTGTTCCCATCTCCAATCCCCGACTGACTGGCGGATGAGCATGACGCGGGCTTGGCATGAACAGACACGTGCAGCTTACCAAGCTCGCCAACTCGCCAGCCTTGCCAGCCTTGCCAGGTCATGCCGCTAAGACACCTCGCTCATCTTCATACTCGACTTTCATCCTGAACTTACTCCACCTCGTGCCGCCGGCAATCTACGCCACGAGGACAGATGGGGCAAACCCCTCCCTGTCAATGGACAGGATGGTGCGTTGACACGAAGATTTGCAAATGGTTAGATCATTTTGATGCATGGATACCCTCCGTGCCTTAAGAAACTCGGACCATCCTCCCTGTTTGCCTCCGTCAGATGTACAGCATCATATGAGACGAAAGTCTACGAACAGATTTCGATCGGTCGATGAATTATATCTTCTCTGTCCCAGAGTATCATTCAACCACAGGACACAAGGGATCGGAGGAAGACTACATCACCATCTTCGGTCGCTGGAGCCGTGGGTGGGTTTGCAGGGCTGTGCACCTCCGTTCAAATCTGTGGCCACAAGCCGTTAACTCTCTACTATTATATTTCTAGCATCATAATTGGTACATATGGGACAGACTCCGAAAAAGGTAGCTGTGCCTGCACTCGCCAGTGTCGAAAAAGTCGCCTGTCTCGCTGTTGAGCTTGTCCGGCATTGGAAGGTGGCGCCACAGCATTATAATCTGTTGTTCAGCTTCGAACTTGGCATTACTCCTCCAGTGTTCTTTGTGGCATCGCGTTGCCGTCATCCTCAAGATTCGCCGAGTGTCACCAGACATAGGGATGCAGTCCCCCGTTAATCACGGCGTCTCGCTGGACTAGAACTCTGGTCTTTGTGCTAGAACGTATCATCGAGATCGAAGAATGAGGTATGAGAAGGACCACTGATGATATGTGCATCCCGGAAATTCCGCGGACACGAAAAGTTTCGGCAGACCCTGAACAGGAGAGTGAGCGGGGTTATTCTGCGCTATATGCGGCCGCCGTTCAGCCGCGATGGAGAGACCTTGACAACTACCAATTTCTCTGACAGCATAGCGGACTAGCATGTACTCGTTCCATCTTTTCGCACCGTCTTCACTTCGGTTCTTTGCATATATACGCAATATCCCTGATGTTAATTGGTAGAAACTTAGGCAGCGGCCATGGCCTTTGTACTTGTGGTACATGGTTCCTGCTTCGTCTAGACTAAATATGCAGTGCAGGGGATGGCTCCGGGGATGGCAACCGTTGTCGCTTGATGACCTCTCGAGGTGGACTCCTATCAATTGGAAATGCAACAGAACCCAATCAGATAGGCATCCCTGTCACCATGCCTGTCGATGCCAATTGATGAGGCATCCGGAAGTAGGCGTATTCAGCTGCACCGGACGTCCAGGCTCCGTAAACGTTGAGCTCGAACCTAATATGAATAATATTGATGAGAATTCTTGGATCTTCCACTTACCGCTACACTTACTCGTGGACGCGTGTTGTGGGTAGCGGGTGCTAACGAAATTACCTTTGAGTATGGTGCAGAGTAGATGCGAAGATACCTGTGGGGCGGCAAGGCTGTATTGTGGATACGAGAACCGCGGTCCTGTATTTTGATTGGTTCTGGGGACTACCTCGCGGGTTGGTTGGGAGAAAGGCCCAGGGTGAGGACGAAGGTGAGACGGAAGCTAAGTGTTTAGAAGTGGCAGGGTTGCGCTGAGTCGTGAGCCCATGAGCTCTGTACAGTATTCTGTACACATCTTTGCATTCAATAGTATAAAACCCCTTTCACGCCCTCCAGGGCCGCCAGCTTTCCCCCTCAAGCACATGTCCCTCGAACGCTGACCAATCCCTTCCCCTCGGCACTCATGGCAGTCGCATGTCATCTCGGATTCCCTGAGTCATTCAGCAATTTGTCCGGAGGACTGAAAACAACCGTACGAGGGCTAAGAGTGGTCGAAACTCAGGGAGTGCAAGGCGACTCGATGGCATCTTTGGCGGCTCGACTGTCTCAAGCAACGTTGTTGTTGCGGGTGACAATTCAAAACCGCCCTTGTCACTTGCTGCTCTCTTCAACACTGGCCCATACTTTCCAGCACAGTTTTCTCAGTCATATACCAGAAGTTGTCCTCTGAAATCCCGGACCTGTCCGAGTCGAGGCTTTCAGATCTCTCAGATCCTGCCGTAAGATTAGCATGCACCTTCGATGGATCGGTAGCGCAATGAAAATCCTCTTGCCGTAGTTTTCCTCAATTTATCTTCACAGTCAGTCTACCAAGTCAAATTCCATTGCATGAAGCTCCGCCGTTGTGTTGCTTTGTTTGGCAGAAGGCCCAGAGTTCTTGCACCCCCGACTTAGTGTGTAACTATGGAAGCTACGCAAGTAGTCCACAGTTTGCTCCTCCATCTCGTGAAATCCGGCCTTTGCTTGGCCGAGGCTGTAATCCATAGCGATCTCACTGGTTGGACCAAGCGCGAGAAACCACAGTAAAAATTGTACCTGACCAACAACGATCACAACTAGAAAAGGAGGCAGAGCAAAGTCCGTATCCGCATTTGAAAAGTTCCGAGTAATTGCCAGTTTGAACAGCAATTCATGTAGATGTTCCATGACTTCCTTCGCTGTTGCCTCCGCCATCGAGAGAGCCACTGCCTTGAAGACGCGATTGATCGTATCTGGAATAACGTCCAAATGATCAGATATATCCCGGGAGAAAGGGAGGGTTTTTTGACGGGAAAGGGGGGGGGAGCAGGATCTGATGTGACTCGCAAGAAGATTTTACTCACATACCATGGCCAAAGGGCCACCACCCGTTCCCGCGGTAGAAGAGAGGACTCTTGTCTTTGGAAGGATTACGACTTCATTCTATAGTAGTTCGCCTCGTAGTCTCAGAAGTCAAACTCGCCTCTGAAGTGGTCCAAGTTCATGCCGACCCCAACCCTTTCAGTCAGATCTCGTCTTCCCATGCCAGTAAATGCTCTTCTCAGGGTGTCGTATAGATTTGTACTCTCGTTTTGATGTATCATCCTTTCCAACTCGGCATCTGAAATGCCCCCATTGCCGTCGCCAACTATTTCCCTGGCTTTGTCTAGGCCCTGCTCGCTCACAGCTCGGTGTAGGTTTAAAGCCCCCAGTAAATGCCCAGCTGCCTCGGGATAGCAGCCAATGTTGATGCAAGAAACGCCCAGATTATATCGCGCTCGAACGAAATTGGGATTAACCTCCAGCGCTTTGCAGTACGCAGTTATCGCGTCTTCAGACCGTCCAGAATTGGCCAGAGTCGCGCCTAGCCGATTCCACAACAAATGCACTTCGCGTTCTCGGTTGGCGATCCCGCTCTCTGTTGACGCAAGAGCAGCCTTGAAGCAATCCACGGCTTTTTCAAAATCCTCATTACCGTAAAACAGAACGCCTAGTCCAACTTGCACGTCGGGGTCCATTTGTTCTCCCGAAGGTGACAATTGAGCAGCCTTGATGAAAAGATCTACAACGCGTTCGTGTAGAATCGCTCTGTCGGTAAAGCCATGTTCAGCAGGATTTGATAGATTCTCGGGTGGGTGAATGTGGGGGTATTTGACGCTTAACCAGCGTTCGAGTGTCCTGTAGGCCGTACTGTCATATCCTTCGTTGGTGTAGGAAACAGCCAAGGCCATGAGAGCGTCGAGATTGTTGGGATCAAGCTCTAGTGCTTTCTCCAGAGCACGGATTGCCGGCGACTCCTTCTCGTTTTGGGCCTGAGCAGCTCCCAGCAAGACCCATGCTTCGACATGGTTGGGGTCTTGTTGCACCGCAGCCTCAAATGCCAAGGCTGCAAGTGAAAGGTTGCCGTGTGCGTCAAGAATCTCTTTTCCTTGTTCGAATGCTGACCTCGACACGTGGTTGTTTTCTAGGTAGGGATTCTGTGACTCAAACATATAATCTCCGAGCATCGGCTCTCGTTCGAAGGGATGATGCGTATTCAGTCCCATTGTGGAATCAAAATTCTCCCAAGCAGCAAGATCCTCTGCAGTAAAAGGCTCGTCTTTGGCAAAGTCTTCGGCCATTTCTCTGGGTGCATGTTCAGCTTGGACTCCATGCCATACTCTCTCGAAATCCTCAAATCCGTCTGCGGGAGATACCACTGACCTGTCAATTTCCTCCAGTTCTCTGTGGATTGCCTCGTTGGCCTGCTCTGAGAGGTTATCGTGCTGCGACTCCAGCTCTTTAAACTGAGCTTCCCAGTTGGCATCGTCAAGTTCAACCATCCGACCTTTCCCCTTGTCTGTACTCTGTTCAGGCTGTTGCATATGTAATGATCCGAAATTCATCCCGAGATTCATTCCACCCATGTATCCCATGCCCATTGGGCTCTGATAGCTGTTCATCATGGATGGGCTTTGTATGATGGGGCTTGCGGTTCGTGGCGCCTGGGCTTGTTGGAAGCGGGCAAATTCCTGTGGCGAAAATCTAGGTTGGCTCGGTCCAGCAAGCCTTGGGTTCGCAAAAGCAGCCTCCATCCTCGCTTGGTCACCTGGGTCGAACTCCGCGGCCCAGCCGGGGGAGGGTGATCGCCTCGTTATTCCTTGAAGATTGGGGAGGTCGTGTCGGAGTTGTTCCATGGCGAAGGGCTGGGGCATTCCGGATTGTTGCATGAAATCGTTCATCATCTACACCAGCGTGAGCAGCGGTTTCTCCCACATGATCTTGGAGTCAGTACCTGATCAGAGCCATTCGGGGTCATTCGAGAGCGCATGCTCTCTTCGAGCCCACCCTGGCCCCGGCCGACAAGGCGGTCCCGCTGGAGGGTATTGTCACTCTGAACATGGTTTTTGAATTGAGTAAGCGGGTTGCCCGCAGTTGAACACTCGGCACCACCCAGGAAAGACATGGTCAGCGATGGATGAGAGTTACAGAGGTCTAGAAAGGAAGAAACTGATGGGTGTGTTGCTTCTTGGTGCAGAGCAAGTCACGTTTTTGAACGATGGTGATGAATAGGTTTAATAATACTGTTCGGAGGCGCTGGGTGGTACTGTTCCTGTTTGGCTGCGGGGGGCAACCGAGGCACAGTTGGGCACTGTACTGGGTAGGGCACAGTAAGGCACAGGGCGGCAAAGCCAGTCTGGAACTGCTGCCGCTGCGGAAAAAGACATTTTCCGGAACAATACACGCCGAGACGCCACGCCGAGACGCCACCGAGTTTAGCCGACAGCCGGAGGAGCTCGAGCTCAAGTTGCTCAATGAAACTCTCACTATCGTCGTGCTTGTTGGCCTACTCGAGGCGGGTGAGATGTCACCCATACCATGTCGAAACACAATGCTGCCGGTTTGCCCACTATGTGTCGGGCGGAAACCGATTGACCATGAGATCTACAAATGCAGGATTCGCCGCATGGCTTAGACCTCTCTGCACGCCGCCCGAACTGTTTCAACGGGACAAGAAACTCAAGAAACACCATTTCAATCATGCATGAACTGAGCAATCCCTTTTTTTCAATATTGGATCGAACCACCACTCTTGCATCACTCTGAAACCTGCTGCCAACCATGACCTACGCATAGTTGCTGCGCGAAAGGCACTCTGCAACGGCAGCAGCATTGAATCGGCCGCCCAAATCGACTAGGAGAGCTTACTCGCTCAGAGACTGTTCAAAGGAGACGAAGTCACCACGGCTGCTCATGTGAAATATGTTGGTTCGCTCGACAAAAACACTCTACGTAGAGGTGGAGAGCTGATCATATGGCAATGTACCCTTGGGCCGCATGGGTAGCCTTAAGTCTGACCGCTGCACTCTGCTGCCTCGCCTCCGTGTCTAGCATGTCACTCCCTGTGAGAAAGACAAACTTCCACCTAGCAACGATGCCGAAACAGACGAAAAAAATAGAAAATGGGTGACTGGGAGACAGCCTGGTAGCAGTCCTTCCGCTTTATTCTTCAAAAGTGACGTCACTCTAGTTTCAGGTACCAGGTATGAAGACAAAACTGCCACATCGAATCCAGAATGCTCCTTTCCGTCACTCACCAGAGAAAGGCCTTATATGTGGAAAATTGTGTGACCCATACCTTGCCCATACCCAGCCTTGGCTTGCCGGGCTGATATGTCCCTAAAGCTTCTCCAGATCTCGACTCGATCGGCGTCAGCTCACCTGTCAAGATATTGTCATCAAAACATACGACAACCTCGCGTGGAGAGGTCGATGGGACTGCCGCTCTGAATCTCCCGCAGGCTGCTAGCTGTATGCTACCTGCGGGTCACGATGGCCTCACCCAAAAAGGTAGAGAGCACTTTTTCTACAATCAAGGCAAGCTAGCAAACGGCTTATGTATTCGGTTTCTGATCTCCTATTCGTTCTCAGCAGGTTGGAGAGGAGCCAATGGGATGATCTCGTTTATTCCCCAAACAGACGTTGCATCAGGCCTCCACAGTTGTGAACAGACTCGATCAACGCAAAAGAGGGCGTTGTCAGGGGATGGATTGTCATATTCAAAGATCAGCTCAGACGGATGCGTTTGCCACGCCCTAATGTCATGGAGGTGTGTGTTGTTGCGTGTCGCTTATAACTTGACTGGTTTCTTCTACTTATCTCACAGCGCAACCAAGGCAATCTCCATCCACAGTCTACAATATGGCCATGATATACTCTGTTATAGTACCCATTATAATGCCCCTGGTTCTGGTAGGAGTCGTCGTTGTATCCCTCCTCCTCAAATCAATCCTTCAGTACTGGAGTTTGAGACACATTCCCGGCCCCTTTGCTGCAAAATTCACCAACTTTTGGCTGGCCAGGAAGTTCTGGAACAGAGAAAACTTTGAAGCCATCGCCCTGGACTTGGATAAGCGGTATGGCCCAGTTGTGAGATATGGCCCGAACAGGGTCTTGTTCAGTGACCTCTCGGCTATAGGCGTCGTCTTCAACACCAAAAACCCGTTCTCCAAGGTAGGTCTCGAGCCTCATCATTTCACAAGTTTTAACTGCGCTGAAACCATCGTTTTAAACAGGCGGAATCGTACGAGGTGGCCTTCCAAGCAGTCAATGGGAAGTTAATAAGTTCCTTTGCGACCGAACGAAACGAAGCCCGCGTCTCCGCGATTAAGAAGCAGATTATTGGAGCCTTCACCACCACGGCCATCCTCGATTATGAATGCCACGTCGATCGCAACATCAAGAATCTGGTGGGCCGGCTCCTCAACGCGGAACCGGAGCTGAATATTGCCAGATGGATTATCTACTTCGCTTTCGATACTATCTGTAACATCGCCTTCAGCGACGACCAAGGCTTTGTGGAAAAGCAGGCCGATTTGGGAAGTACTCTAGAAGGCTCTCGCCAGCGCTTTGGTCATTGGCACAACTGGCAGTCCCTGCCCAAACTCGAGAAGCTCATCTACAAGAACCGCTTCGTCTCCAGAGGTACGGGCGCAACATCTCTCCTTGGTGGACTTGCCATAAAGCGGCTTCAAACACGGCTCGAAAAAGGCGGGGTGGGTACCCATTCCGACCTTCTCGATCGGTACCTACAGGCAGGCGAACGCGATCCTGTTACATTTGATAGATCGACCATTATCGGCCTGCTCATCTCCACGATCCACGCAGGCGCCGAGACCACCGCGGCAACCGTTAACCTAACTCTGTACTACCTTCTTACCAACCCACGTGCCATGACCAGACTGAGGACCGAAATCGAAGATGCAAAGCTCGCGTCTCCGCCTTCATGGCAATCGGTCTCGAAACTCCGCTACCTGGAAGCCTGCATAAAGGAAGCTGGTCGCATTCGTCCGCTCATTCTCGACCCAATTGAGCGGGAAGTGCCTGCCAACGGGTCCGGGATTGAGATCTCTGGCGTTTACGTACCCCCTGGCAGCGTGGTCGCCATCAACACGCACGCATTGAATCGCGACCCCATAATCTGGGGCGACAAAGTGGACGAGTTCAGACCCGAGCGATGGATCGAAGCGGACGAGGCGCAACTCTCCAAGATGGAGCGTGCGAATCTGAATTTCTCCACTGGGAGGAGATCGTGCATCGGGCGGCACATCGCGTGGATTGAGATGAAGAAGGTCCTTCCCGAGCTGTTGAATCGATTTGATGTGAGTTCTCCATCAATCTACCTGTTCCTCTTCCTTCAGTTCATTTCTTCCATTTCTGTCCTGAACCTCCTTTCTTCGTTACATATACTCCCTTTCTCTTTTTGCTATGGTAATTTATTGCGTCGAACTACCCGAGTGGTAGGCTAAATGAGCCTTTCTTATGCAGATTGAACTCACGAATCCCCACCAACAACTCCAACCCTCTGGTTCCATGGTTTTCTTCGTTGACGATCTGAAGGTCAGGCTGACTCCGCGGTGATCATTGGCACGACCACACTTCTATACCAAGACCTAGATCGGAAGAGGTACGTATCCAGCAATGAGCAAGACTGAAAAGAAAGACTAACTAAAGGAGAAGGAAGGGAAAGGTGGCTCAAGGGGTGCAAACAGACGCTGTAAAGTCTGCGATAATACAGCACCAACAGAACGAGAACATATATCGCAGTAGACAAGGGGAAGAAAGACAAAAGAGAAAGAGAAATATTGCAAGCAAAAGCGCGCCTGCCCTGCCTCTGTGCTACTCTCATTCGCCTCGTCAGCGATGGGCCAAGCGCCGAGCGTGCAAACATTGCAGAATGCATAGAAAGGGAGACAGGAATTCAAGGGGTACAGGGCATCACCAGCATCATTTGACCCGAACGGAGCTAGATTTCTATCCCTTTATCCGTTCATCTGTCCATCCGTCCATCTCGTCGTTGAACAGATTCGACTGACTCCTGTCTGACTACCGGTGATGTGGCGTCTGTGTTCTTTCTTTCCGCTCTCTAATCGGGCCAGGAGATGCTCTACACTCTACACTCTACACTCTATGCAGTGCAGATTTTCGAGGATGATGAAGCAATATACGTAACGGTAAATGCATCGCTGGCGATGACTATATACACGTACACGCACGTCTATAGACATAGTCTGCGCATAGCTTCGTATCTCTCACACCTTTACTCCGTACTCGATATGTTTTGTCAAGAATAGAGATTATCATTTCTATGTTACAATCAATCGTACACACAGAGGAGTATCGAGAACTACCTAGTATGCAGACACACTGTCAGGATGAGCGACGAGATAATGTCTCGTACCGACTGATGGACCAGACGACCTTGCCGATTTTCACACTCGGTCTCTCTCCTTGTTTTTGCTCGTGGCTGTCTCCTGGCTCTGGCCTTTCTCTTTCAGCTTCTGCCCAAGACCCAATATCCGTCTACCTGCCGATTGAAAATTAGAAACAGAGCAGGTCGTACTAAAACATGTACATCCAGGGGCCATGACCACTGCCCACCATCCTCGTATCAGATTGTTACAAAGACAAGCTGAAGAGAGGAACAGCGCTCCTAAACCTGCTGTCGACCTCAAACCATACTCGCGCCCAGTGGGTATTTTCAGAGGCCGTGTAGCTGGCCATCCTTCTTAGCAGTCATATGGCGTTCTGACTTACGTAGATTCACAGAATCGAACCCCAGAATCTGGAGTCGGCAACCGCCCCTCTGCCCGAGACTAGGAGGATCCTCGATCTCCGGTTTGACTGCCCTCGAATTTTGAACTTATGGAGCATGCGGTAGCCATCGCAAGTGTTGTATTTACTTGCCACAATTTGCTGCGCTGTGGCAAGGGCCTTGAGCAGGAGCTGACATATGAATGCATAGAGCGCCAAAGACTTCCCGCGAAACCAAGTCTAGTTGTTTTCAGCGGGTGGATCGTTTCTGGGCGCCCTGTTCGCCGAAGAGTACGAGAAATCAACTCTCAACCTCCGTCCGTAGATCTCCTTCTCTTGCAGCAGCTTCATCGCTTCCATGGCGCTTTTGACATCAATGAAGTCGGCATGCGCAAACCCTCTCGGTTGGCCGGTCCGTCGATCAATGGCGACACGGACATCGATGACATTTCTAATGCCGCGGAACAAGTTCGTAAGATCACGATCTGTCATCTCGAACGACATATTGCCGATGAAAAGAGTCTTGGAAGGAGGGTTGAGGGGCTTGCGCTCGGCGTTCTGGTTGTCAAGCACGCCGCTCGGGCGCGCAGCGTACTGAACTGTGATGCGACGGCCTTCGAAAAGCGACATATTGAGACGCTCCATAGCTGTATCCGCGGCATCTTGCGTCGAGAAGTCGACATATCCGAAGCTAAGGCAAAATTAGCAAGGTTTGGTTGCTTGGATATCAGGAGAAACCAACCCTTTACTCAAACCACGGCTGTCCCGAACAATCTTGCACTTGGTTACAGTGCCGAAACGGGCGAATTCTTTGACGAGGTCGGTTTCGGTGACATCAAAGAATAGGTTTCCGATGTAAAGTGTCGGCTTGCGGTCAAACATGCCAGCATGGCTCAAAGTTGCAGACTGCGAAGGTGTAGATTTGACATCAGCAGCTAGTTTTTCACTTGTTCCAGCAGCTGGCAGTGCCTCTTCTGTTGCTTCGGTCGCATTAGCGGTTTCTGCAACCGCAGGGGCTGAATCAGTCGGCGCAGGGCCAATCTCTGCAGCGAGTTTGTCGTTGAGCACAGCAGCCGGAAGGGATTTATCTGTGGCTTCTGTAATATTCGCAGGTTCTGCAGCTTGAGGAGCGTGTTTTGCACTGGGGGCGTCGGTTTGGGCTACATTCTCGGCTTCTTCTGATTTCGTAGGCTCAACTTCGGTTATGGGAGGCTTGCTCTCCTTTTCTTGGGCATCATTTGTGGCCCATCTCCGCTGTGGATGGAATGCGGGGCTTCTATTGATTAACCGCGAAGTAGGAGAGTTGAAAGATGTGTATGCTCGTGAAGAGGAGACAGAGGAAGAAGGTCGCGAGGTGAGAAAGCGCGATGCGCAACGGCGTAGGGCATACCTGTGGAATCATCAGTAGGCCATCGTTGCCCTGAATGGTAGCAGATACTTACATGGCGACAAACTCAAGAGCAATAGGTTTCAAGAAAGACGGAGAGAAAATAAATCAGGACTATGCGAGAACGGTTCCAAAGACTGAGAGTTGCAAGTGTTCTGCTGCAGATTGCATGACCATTGAAGAGAAAAAGTTGAATCCGGTATAGCGTCTTGGCGCTCTCTGTATCAGAATCCAGCCTTGCGGGCTTGGCCGTCTCCCCATCCCCGCGGCCTCCTTTCGTCGGCCCGGAGCAGAAGAAACACCAGGAAGATGCTACTAGGTCCCGCCTACGAGGTCCCTAGAAGGAGTCGAAATCCGTGCCTGCCATCAAACCCAATATCGTCCCCTGGAATTTTCGTCCAACCTCCTGCCACTTGACTTGTATCCCTGCAACAAGAACAGGCCATGGCATTCCCATTCCCAAACCTGGATCCCCATCGACTTCAGGGATCGAAACGCGATCTCCGAGGCTGCTAGTCCACGATACTAGTTCAGCAATCATGGGGCCAAAGTCTGTGACCAGGCGTTCTTCAGATATTTTGCCAGCTTCGATGTTCAGATCCAGCAGGGTGAGGATCAGGTGAAGAATAGGAGGGAGAATGATTGGGTCATGTGCTAGCGAAGGCAAAGTATGGAGCGTTGTCAACATTAGAAGAGATTCGCGGGTCAGGTCGGAGAGCTGCAAAGCGTTCGGACCTATGGTGGAAATGAGGACGACGAGTGTCTGCAGGCTCAGTTTTAGCAAGGAGGGGTGTAGAAGCATGGAGTTTGCTAGGTAAGGTGATGTGACCAGCGAGGTGAGGAAAAGCGTCAGTCGCGAAACAAGTGGCAGATAAAGTGCTTCTGCAAGAACCTTGTGCAGGTCCTTTGGAATGCGCTTTGAGCGGGCCTCGAGCTTTGCAGCTGTTTTGGCGGCAACTTCCATCCGTGAAGAGAAAGTACGGACCTTGAGAACGTCCGGCCCGGTGAGCTTGTCAGCAGCTTGAAGAGCCATTGGCTGAAGTGTGCGATAGGAAAGTGTCGATGAGATGGTGTCGACAGGTGCTGTGGAGGAATAGATCGGTTCAAGCCGAGGTGGCAGTCGATTTGAGGGAAAGGATGGTTCGGTTGTGTGTTTGGTCGCAGATGATACATTGATATCATCGTCAATCCCCGCCAGCTCTCTACACCCTAGAGATACCGCTGCCAATAGGGCCGCGCGTGTCGATAGGGAGAAATCCCCTTCGAAGTAGGTGCTAACGACCCAGGGCCCCATGATCTTGGGCTTTGAAATCAGACATGCGATTATGGCCTCTAGTCTCAATTGCTGCATATGTTCCTGTGACATGCCTTCCTGGACATTGACAAGAGACGAAGCCAATTGAAAGATATTGGCCGACAATTCGTCGCCAAAGTTGGCTTTTCGGCGTATCAAAGATGGAGCGGTCTTAAGGGCCAGCTCAACCACAGAAGGGTCGTCAGTAGCGTTGAGCTGCTGGATGAGAGCCGTGATGTAGACGGGAGGAGTGGGTTTCTTCCGGTTGACCAGAGTAGGGTCTTCATCTGAGTCGGAAGGGTCGCTATCTGGCAGTGGATAAGGGCGTAAATCCTCCTCTCCGGCTGAATCGGATAGTTCTTCGATAGCTACGACCTTGGAGCCTTGGGTGCGCGACCCTGTGGAGAATCGTTTACGGCGGGCAGCTGTTGAGCTATTCTGCAAAGGCCGCTTCTTCACGGGCTCGGCTGGTTTCTTCGGCAGCTGTTCCAAACTCCCAACTGTGTCTTGAATGTTGGTAAGATCAATCCATCGCTGCGCCTCCTCTCCTTCCATCTCTTCGACGCCGAAATTCATGACTTTGTCTGGCTCATCCACTAGTCTCGAGACTGCGACTGCGACGATCATCCCTAAAAACCGGGCGCGAGGAACCGATGCAGAAAGACGATTGGAAACCCCACGAACGAAAGGACTGGATCCCGCCAATTTTTTAACTGAATCGTGGTCCAAACGGTTTAAGTAGCCGAAAGCCAGCAGAATTGTTTGAGCCGTTGCTACAAGAGCCCACACGTAAGCACAGGTTCTGCCACCACCTAGAAGTATCAAATACAAGGGTGTTAATTCTGCGAGTTCACTTACACTCCTGCTGGATAATAGCCTCATGTTGAATTTGCAACTTATTCCCGAAGTTGTCCAGAGTTCTCACAAGGACTTCCTCGAGCTTGTCTAGTAGAAGTTAGCTCGCTGTAGAAGAAGTTGAGATAGCGGCTTACCTTGACTCGTCGCCAGAGTTGCAATGACAGCCCTACGAGCATTCAGACCGAGTCCAGCACACTCCCCATTGGTGCTTGTTAGCCAATGGATAATATATGCCTCCAGTATGGGATTGTTTTGCACAAGCCCATTAATCATGGCTGCCACTCCCCCGACTGCGGGTGTAATTGTCACCAGTAATTCCTTAGGTGCTACGATATCTGCTCCACTTTGTAAAAATCGCCGCGCAAGGTCTCGTAGGATGGTATCAAAGACGACTCTTTGGTCGTACACTGGAAGGCCCTTGATTAAAATATGCATAGAAGTCCACAGCGCTGCCTTTTCAAGAAGAAGTGAAGTATACAGCTCGCTAATTAATGTATCTATAACCTAGTTAGCAACTTCCCGAGACGGCAACGCTTGGGCAAGTCATACCACGATATCCAAGATTAAGCCCACGCTTCAGCACCTGGCACAGAAGACTTATCTGTTGAGAACTGGAGTGAGGTAGTGCGGTGAGGCTTGTTGCTGCATTTGAGATGTTACGTGCAAGCCACCTCGAGTACTCACTTCCGTCTCCCAGCCATTTCCCGTTCTCTCCGAACCCATTCAAATCCCAATGGGTGGCAAAGACTTGGGACATGGTAGTGAGGATCTTGCTACCTGCTAGCAAAGCAGTAGCTTCTTGCCAGAAGACACGGCGCTGTGTGTCTGTGGGAACAGTCTTACTAGCATGGGACAGAAATTTCGATATGATCATATTGCCACCAAGGACTGACGACAGAACGAAGCTTGTGTCTTGAAGCAGCGACTTGTCTTGGCCGGCGCCGATAGATGAAAGCCGTCGGATTTGCATGAGGAGTGCACCAATTCCGGCGACACTAGTAAGAGATGAGACCAGTATTGCCTTGAGCTGCGCGTCTGCGCTCGAGAGCGTAGCTGGTTGCAAATGAAACCAGTGGTCTGGAACGGTGACCGTGACGAGTACATTGATGATCTGAGAGGCCTTCGGGCTCGGGACGTGAATATTGAAGTCATGTCTCCCTTCAATTCCGTACTGGAGATACTGTAGAACAGCCGCTAATTCTTCACTGTTTGGTTGATTCCTCAGAATCTCAAGTGCATCGTCGGGTAGCGACGTAGGTGGCGCTTTGCCCAAATAAGTCTTTTGAAGGAAAGCGGTGGAGTTGTGACGCTTGTGATTTGCCTGCCGCACCTCTGCAGACGTTGGACTCTTAGACGTGTCAACCGATGGTCGGAGACTAATCGTGTCGCTTGCGTCGTCACCGACGCCGAGAACAGATATCTTAGATTTAGTACTAGCCGGGGGCGATGCGGGCACGGGATCCTTCAGCGACAAGGTCTCGAACTTGTCGATATTGCTCTGCACCTTGCGGGTGGTCTTGATGGGCTTGAATAGATCGTCCATGTTTGCCGTCTCATACTGATGGCGTGTCTGTGCGGAGGACGATCTTGCAACTCCGAAAAGATAAAACCAAAGTCAGGGCGGCGAGGCCGTGCTGGAGCCTTGCATATGCCAAGAATTGGGGAAGTCGTCCGCCAGCCCACCCTGCTTTAGGGACGAGGGTGACGCCGCCCTAATTATGTTGCCTATGCTCATCCCGGGCTCCAGCGAGCTTCACCGGAAAAAGTGCCACTATAAAGCAGAAACTCGAAACCCAGATCTTTCTGGTTTTCCATGCACTCGAATCTACAACAGGGCTCTACAAACTCTTTAAGCAATACATTGTGCTTAGATTCTCGAAAGACACCAGGTTTTCCCAATATTTCACAGTATTATAGTAATGACACGACCAGGACTGTCTGTTCAAAGCTTATCTCCAACAGTTGAAGTTGGCAGCATTATCCACAGGCTCGAATTCGAATAGTTACACTTATTTCTCCTTAAGGACTCATTACAACTATACCGTACGCGGCCGTCGACGAGGGCGAGTTGGGGGATCTTAAAGTTCTAAAACAGGACTCCTTACGAAAGACGGGGCATGTATTCTCTCTTACCGAACCCCTTTCCAACAAGACGAGTTGGGTATCCCAGTAAGCCTGTTCCGTGGCGTTGACCCGCACTATAACAACCGATCACCTTGACAGCCTCACTCCCACTCGCAATACCAACCACGCGACAACAAAATGTTAGCCACCACCGCGAGGTTACGAGCTACCACAGGGGAAAGGCTATCAATCATAGGATAGAATTTCAGCGTTCTGAATGAGGTCGCCAACCGCCGTAAAAGGTGGACATCGCCAAGCATAAGAAGAGTGTGCGATCCCTAGATAGACAGACAGGCCTCAGTCACATTGCTTTTCCAAACCCTACGTTCTGTTTTACTAGCATCCACGTGATTCCTCCTTGACCCTGACTTTTACACCGTCAGTAGCTGATAGGGATATAGGATGAGTAGTCTGTGGGGGTTTGATATGTTCTGCAACTGCGAGTCGACGTAGAAACGAAGAGGACAAATCTGAAGAGAAAAGTAGGAGACGTAGGGTCCCGTTCCTCCCTCCTTTATACCTTACGTTGTTGTCGTTGCTCCCCGTCGAACGAGGAACGGATGCTTAATCTCCGACGAAGAATGAATATTGAATCGCCGACGAAGAATGACCAAGTCTTCGTCTTGAGAACACATGCGAAGGTTCTTCCAAACCGAGTACTCCTTCCGGGTTCAACCCGTCACACCTACGTTGTCTCCAGTATTCCTAGCTCTGGCAGTGTCCCCCTTGTACAATCTGTCCTGCCGAGCCGGCCACAATCCTCCGCCTGCTGTACTTTGTTGAGCACAGCAAACAGGTAATTGCTTCACAGTAAGATAGTTACCATTGCGAAGGAACATATGTAGTAGGAATAAGAAAAGAAGAATTAAAGGTATCAAAGGTCATACTATATAAATGGATATTTGCTTCTATTTCGAGCTAAGTGTGAATGTTTAACAATGTTATTCCAGCTCATTGACCCTATCAGAGCGCTCCTGGGCGCTGAGCTCAACGGGCGACTGGTGGTATGGGAACTGCAGCGGTTTAGTTTTTGGTTGGCGGCTGTGGTCGAGTAAGTCGTCGCCCTCGAGTTCTTGGCGCGCCCACTTAGGCATCGAGTTAGGGGACTCGTGGTCTTGGTTGGTCAGCCTTCTTTTCCGTCTGTCCCTTCTCTTCCTAACCAGGAAGACTCCAATGGCGACAGCTATCAGGACAGCGAGGATGCCCGCGATGGCGATGCCGGCTTTATCGCCTGTTGACAGGTCGGAGCTGTCTTTGTTGAGCAGGGAGGTTGAGTTGCCAGAGGAAACAGAGAAGGTGGCGGTAGCGGTCGAGGAAGTGGTGGTTGAGGTCGGGATGGATAATGAGGAGCTTGTGCTAGTGGTTCCAAAAAGAGACAGATCTTTCTGTTGATATTCCACGGTGACCGGTTGACCCCACATGGTCAGAGGGCCGGAGACAACCGTGCTAGATAGATCAGTGTCGTTGGCGCGGGCTATAACGCTAGTAGTGCCTTCGAAGGTGCTGAGGCAACCCACAAAGAGCACTGAGCTGGAGGTGAAGAAGTTGATGGTGCTGAAGGAGGTGGCATAGCTGTAGCCTCTTGGGGCAGGAGTCAGCGAGACGTAGGTTCTGCGAATGTGAAAGACCTACGATTCACAACATATGGCCGTGGTGGTTCCATCGTTGTTGAAGACGCCTGGGGTTTGGTATCCACTGGGACAGGCGCCGGGGCTATAGACTTGGATGCTCGAGGGTGCGCGGCCGTACATGGCAAACTCTGTGGGGAAGCATGCAGTGTTGAATTCGCCTAGATAGAGATTCTGGATTAAGAGACCACTGGAAATGCTGTTGTAGTAAGAGCCTTCAAAGGTCCAAGAATTGCTGCAACCGGCCGCTGGCGTGAAGACTGAGCTCATGGCCGTGATCGTCTCGGTGGGGATAGACGTCATGGCTGCGACGTGTGTGGCCAGGCACAACAACAGCGCAGTCCATATGGGAAAAATGCAACTGCGGAGATCGAAGCGCAAAGGATTGAAGAACTCGACAGGAAATAAGCGAGTTAAAGTGCTGAGGTCTCAGGCTGGAGACGTGAGCAGACCCGTGGAACAAAGCCCAGTGCCAGCAGCTGGACGTCGCGTGGCTCTGCTTCGGGGTGAGGTCCCTCCTTGCTCCCTCGTACCCTTGCAATCGCGTACTGAAAGGACTTAGGGGAAACCATCCGAGGAACTGAAAACGGGAAGGGAACCTGCAGCCAGCCGACATGGAGATGACGGTGAGGCTCAGCTCCCCCGGCTCGCGGAAGTGGAACCGCAGAGGTCGCCGAACCAAGGGGCGACCAGGTGCCCCTAAGAAGGAGGGAGGGACGAGACCCCGGACGAACATACTCACGATGATGCCCTGGGAAGCCACAGAAGGCTAACTAGGGAAATGGCGGGGGTAAAGCACAGCACTCTACCAGGCCTGTCCTGCAGGAAAAGGTCGACGAAGAACAGACCGCAACACAGGCATGCTAACCAACCCCTCCATGGACCAAGGTAGGGCCCGAAGGAATAACGACTGCTATGTATCGCATATCAGAATTGTTCTCTTTCCTATATACTGTTAAGGATCCCTACTGATCCTAACTGGGTTAGGGTTCTCAGCAACAATCCTGGTATAGCATGAGCTGGTTGTGGATCACACGCGATATGAGCAAGGTTTCTCTGTTACTAAGAACTGTATAGTCCAGTAGATAACATGAGTTGGCTACGGAGAGAGTGTAACTATGTAGGGGTAACGAGGGTGTATATATAATGCCTGTGCTCTGTGCGCTCTGTGCGCTCTGTGCGCTCTGTCAACAGGGCCAACAGGGCCAACAGAGCCAACAGGGCATATCACGTGACTCAGCCTTGTTCTCCTGTGGATCCTTCCATCTGTCCAATGAGTGTGGTGAGTCGCGCCAATGCAACTCGTAACCGGGTTTCCTCAAGGCTGTGTCTAACATATACGTGGGTCCTTTTTTCGCCCAGGGGGCCAACCCCTACAAAAAGTTAGTGGTGCGTACCCTTGGGCGATTTGTCGAACCTCGTCACGCCCTTTTTTGCCTTCTTTTTTTTAATTTTAGATAGTGCATGGTGTTGTAAACTTTTCACAGTTCAGAATTACGTTGCTCTTACCACTGCTATAAATTTCTTCGCCTTGCAGTTCGCCGCAAGCGTTGCTAATCGCCTTATAGTCCCCAATATGGGCCGGGCCGCTACTACCGTAAACCGGTCTAAGTGTGGGGGATATTGTCTTGGATGCTGTTCTGTGGGGAATCAAACAGCTTCATTTCAATATTTAATACTTTAAATCTCTGCCCATTCGGTTAGTCCTCCAACCTTCCTTCGTTGGTAACAAATGTAATTCTTCTCCCAGATCCACGTATTTTATCTCCGTCTTGTTAGTTTGCTGGCACGGAGCAAGATAGGAGCCAAAATGGCAAGCAGCGGTAAAAGATATGGGGGAGAAAAGAAGTTAGCAAGGAATTTCTTCCTTACCCGCTGGCGCTTTTCGGGTCCACAGGGCACAGTTGTTTCGGCTGAGCAGGAGGTGAGGCGCTTACTTAGCCACTCGCAGAACTGAAACACAAGGGGCCAGACGGGCCGGTTACACCATACGGGGTACGAAGTACATGAGCAGCCCGGGCCTGCAATTCCAGACCGCCGCCCCCCTATATTGGCAGCCCGAGCGAATCATGCGATGATCGTCTTGCCGAATACACCTCTGGAACCCTAGGACGCGTACCTTGTATAGTAACAGGCAAGACGTAGGTAGCGTAGGGTGAGGGCCTGTGAATGAGTTGATTGCTGTGCAAGCGCGGTAAATCAGGCTCTTGGCATCAGGATTGACTTGTGAGTGCTGTCGCCAGCTACCGCTCCAAACGGCTGTCGTCTCAGTCTTTCAGAGCCGTCGTCAACTCGGCATTTAGTTCGATCCGTACGGGAAGATGATGCAGCTTTGTCAGACGCCAGGCCTCAATTCAGAGTAAAGCGCCCATGCCTCAACCTAGTGATGTTTTGCGATCTCACCCCGGGCCTCCCCAACAAGACCAGCGCTGACAACAAAGCTGCCCTTTTGTCCACACGAAAATGTTGGTCAATGTACGGCTCCAGCCTTACCGGCTTGTTGTGTTCCTGGGCGTCTTCATCTTAGTTACAATTGCTCTCTACGGTCTCTCAGGTCGCTCGTGGTTGATCTCACCCGCCGGTGCTGAATATGACAGGACGGCTGGATTATCTGGAGCTGTGAGCCACGATGGCTCGAACACAGAACTGCTCGAAGCTGACCAATTTGCCTGGCCGTTCGAGTATAGCACGGTATCGAATCAGTCATTGTTCTGCGAGGAACGCTTTGGACTCGGCTATCTCGACAACTTCAGCCAACGGTCTGCTGAATACTGTACCGCTGAATCGGCCT